GGCCTGATCCCAAAAATGGGCGTCATTACCCGCGTGGTACCCGCATGCGGGCCCGCCAAAGTTTTATACGGGTAAATTCATAACTGGGGGATCTGAGAAGCTAGAAAGCTGAAATCATAGGGTAATTTTCCCCGTTCAAGTGGGTATTAGTGAGTTCAAACCCAGCCCTCGGGTAAGCGTGGTACTCGCGTACTGGCTCGCCAAAATTTTCGGGTAAGTTCATAACTCGGGAATCTGAGAAGCTAGAAAGCTGAAATCTTAGGGGGGTTCCAAGTGGGTATTAGTGAGGTCAAACCCAGCCCCGAGTAAGCGTGGTATCCGCGTACGATCCCGCCAAAGTTTTTTTCGGGTAAGTTCGTAACTCGAGGACCTTAGAAGCTAGAAGGACTGTAATTTTAAGAGGATATACCCCGTCCACCTAAGTCTCATTCAGCTCAAACAAAATCAACTCTCGGTATGCGTGGTAAACATGCACGGGCCCGTGAAAATTTTTTCCCAGTAAGTTGCTAACTCAGGAGCTAAGGAAGCTAGAAAGCTGAAATTTTAGGGGGTGTTTCCTGACAGTTCTAGTGGAAGCATTTTGCCGAAAAAACCCGTGCCGGTAGCAACAAAAACTGCAGGGAACTATGCAAAAAACGCATCTTCGCACGGGCAGCCCGTTCGTAGGCCAATTATTGAGATTGTTGGAGATATTTCTAGTCTTTCGAACAGCTTACATTTGCCTCCTATTATTAGTAATGCTGTAGAAATATGTTCCTGTACGACTGCGATCTTTGTTGTTATTTTAATTCTGTTTTTTAGCTGTGAATGTCAACATGGGCAATCAGAATGCGAACTGAATCAGCTTATGAACTGCGTGATTGACATGGTCCCTGACCCACACAGCCATGTGCCGACTATATCCTGCATCCAGGGGAAGCGGGATCTTTTATCTGCTGGATCAAAATGTCTGGGCAAGCTCCGTATTCCAACCAAAAAGTAACATTGTTGAATTTCATAATTTTGCTTTGATAATTGAATTTCATAATCATAATTTCTCCCGCCCAGTGATGTGGATTTCTTCACCTTTTTCTTCCATTCCTGCCTGATGCGCAACCGACTCGTTCTTTAGCGTTGCCATTATAGATTTACAGTAGCGATTTCACCTGAATTTCTTGGTTTCGACGATTTTCATGTTAGTAACCCACTTCGATTACCCT